GGAGCGCTCCATTCCGGCCCCTTTGTGGCCAGAAGAAAGTGGCCCATCTGTCGCCAGTTAGAGACTCCGTGGACCTGTTTTTACCCGCAGGAGAGATTAACCCTTTGTGCCGGCAGAAGGCAGAGGACATATGGGAGGGGTTTGCTGGAGGCGAGCGGGAAAGGTTAAGATGACTGACTGTGTCTAGGTCCTAGCCTGAAGCCTGTCTCAGCGCCAGAAGGGAGACAGGTGAACCAGGCTCAAGCGGGGAGACTCAGGCGCGCTGAAGAACCCTCCCATTGACAATGGTCTCCAGTGCAGCTTGACTTTTTGCTCTCAGAAAGGCCCATCTCTTGGCTTCTGTCCCTTGGCAGACGCTTTGCTCATTGGCACCAAAGGGTGGCTGGCTTCTAATCTCCATCACCCCTCGAGGCAATCGTATATTTCATATAAAAATGACCTCATCCGGAAACACAGCTTTGACTAGTTCTCAACCTTTCTGTCCAGATCATCCTCTCCAAACCTCTACAAGACAGAAATTTTGTAGTTACCACTGGACTCCCAAAATGAGACCCTTTGTATCCTAACTTTCATCTGCTCCTATCCTTGGAGACTTCACTAAGATAGTCTTCAAATCTGACCACTAGAATTTTGTGCCTACAGCTCGTTTTTGCCAGCAGGCCTTGGCTCCACTGGCCTTCAAAACCTTCTGTAGTAAAAGATGACCTCACCTAGCCCGTCCAGGGAATGCTGAGATTCAACACTCCTGTCACCCCGGCTTGCCATTTCATTCCTGACACAGACCATAATCCCACCCCACAATCTTTCTCTAGCCCATGATGCTCAATCCCTGGCCTTGGAATCCTGGGTCACAAAACCCACAAAGAGAGCTGAAATAGGACTTTATTCAAGGTGTCATTTCCTTCTTTCAACCATTAGCACACCTTTGTATGGAGGGATCTCTGGAGCCTCTGATTTGATAGGGCCCTTCTGTGGGTCCAGCAAAGCCTATTCTGGAATAACTAGCCTTCTCTATTCTTAAACAATGGTTCCTTCTTTTCTCCATCTGGGCATATTCCTGAAAGATGCCCCTCCATGCTTCATGTTCAAGAAAGAATTCAGGGAGAGGAGGAATGGTTGGCTTCTTTCTCTTCCAGTTCCTCTTTTAATTCTTCATTAACTTCTTACCCTCCTCCAAACCTTTTGCAATGAGTGCATCCTACTTGAATTGCTTATGTAAACACAATTGCCCTCAAGTTTGCAAACAGTGTCAGGGTTGAGCAGCTGGAGTGGGGTACATCTGGGAGGCAGGAGGAAGAGAGGGTTCTAAGTAGATTCTGAACATGTGGATGGAGTTGGATGTGGCTTTCCAGAACCAGAACAAATCTGAAGAGAAAATCAAAGCATTGTTGGAGTCCTTTGGTGGTCCAAAACATAGCACCAGTCCTTCTGGGGTTCCAGAGCAGAACTGCCTGGAGTTTTGCTTTGTCTTTGTTCTGTCAACTGGCAAACAGCAGAGTGCACAAGGAGTACTGTTCTTGTATTTACTCTGGGTTCTGAGTTTAAAGCACAGAGACCTCAGGTTTAGGTCTCAGCCTAAACCCTGAGGTCTAATCACAGTGGAATTCTTATTGCAGTCTCCCTTATCGGAAAAGCATATAGGGATTCATCGATGCCGATCCTGGCTCTCACCTCTCCATTTCGTAGGAAGCTACGGAAGATTTGTTGGGGCAGGATGCAAGAGATGGATCAGAGATTGTGAAAGGAAAAGCTACATATCTGGGTATTCTTGGTACCTGAAGTAAGGTCTCTCATTGAGCTTCTTGCAGCACTGTGATGTGGTCCTGAAGCGAGTCACAAACACCAAGGAGCCCGGCAAGTGTCCCCTGAGCTCCCCGGAGGCAGCAACTGCCTAAGAAAGATGGGAGTTAAGTTTTTTGGTTTGTGTGTGTATTCGGGGTGGAGGACAAGACCGTGGGGCCAACCTGAACTGCACCCAGCTGGAGGCACTGAGGAGACCCTGGCCAGAGCGACCCTGTGCGCTGCTGAATCTGCTGGCATGGTAGCGGTGGGGCGGGTATGCACACTCCCCCAGCTCTGTCCCCACCCGGCGCCCTAGGCAGCCGGGCGGCACGCGAGCTGCACGCGCAAGCAACAAAAGCCGCTTTTCATGACTCAATGCCCTCGAGCAATGCCCTAAATCTGCCACCCCGCCGGGTCCTACTCCCCAGCGCGACACTGGACCGGCATTCAGGCCGTTACAGCGGCAGCTCTGGGCTCCCGCGGGGAAGCAGTGGCCTGGGGAGGGATGGGGGAAGTGGGGAAAGGGACAGAGGAGTGTGGCCTGGCCGGGAACACATTCACAGAGATAAGATAAAGAGCTGGGTCGCGGCTTGCGGCGTCCCGGGTGGTGACCTGTTTTTCTCAGAAACAGATGCTTGCGTTCCATGAAAGGACCTAGTTTTGTCCATGGCTACCCCACCGACTCAGAGTCTCCTGAGCTTCTCCCTGCAGGGCCCTGGAGTCAGCTGGCCTGGCCTGTGTAAGTTCCATCCCCAGGAGGCCATTGGTATCCAGCCCAGCGAGTACTTGGAGGCTTTGGGGCACAGTGGGTCCCTAGAGCAGCAGCTAGAACTAAAAGCCCTCTCTTAGGCCCTATAGCTTCAAGATCAGGGGATGCTGGTTCCGCTCAGACTGCTGGGGTGATTCAAGCTTTGCTCCTCAGCCTCTCGGGAGGCAGTTTTTCCTCCAAGGTCCTGGCCAGAAGCTGAAGTTGCCCGGACTCGACAGGCAGACGACAGGAGAGAGCCAGGAGCAAGAGAGATGCTATTAAAATGCCTTGCTATCGCCTGGAGCGCAAAACCCGTTCTCCCCAAATCTCCAGGGCTTGCGGCATAATCTTAATTAAGATAATTGATTCATATTGCACCTGCGCGAACCGAAAAAAAATTGATTCCAACCCCCAACTCCACAAATTGCTTAGAGCTATTGGATGAAGGACGACGAGGCTGTGATTTGGGGAGTGATTTAGAGCAGGGCTTCCCCAGCACGGCCTGCCTGAGCCCTTTTATTTATTATTTACGTTCTCTAGATCCCGCTGGGGCCTTAGTAGCCCCCCTCCTGGCGCCGACAGACCTCAAGAGAATACACCTCTGCCTCTCTGTCAGAATTAAGGGGCTTCCTTTAAATCCATTCAGCACTCGGAATCAACAACATAAAAATAAACGCCACCAGAGTACCTTGGCAGATGCCGCTCTCAGGCACGTTTGT